CAACAGCATGACAGAGGACGCAAAAGTACACGAGTATGACTTTGTCATAGTTCATTGTCTGAGCCCACAACATGGAGATACAGACAAATTCCTTGCTGCACAGTGATACCTTATCTGTTCACAGAATGTCCTGACCCTGAACACTGTGTAGGAATTGAAATTTGAAACCATGGGTGTTCCGCCAATACAGATGCAAAACCATGAATTAGAACATTCTAGCAATAAATGGATGCCAAAATTAATACTTCAGGAGCTATAGGATGAGCAACTGAAGGACTTTGACCTAGCATGGGTGCTCTTTGCTGTCCAATAAGGTCAAGCTCAATCAGTACTATTAAGAAGCATAGCATGGATGCATGTAACGTGTTTCAAGCTGTTGCAAGTGCAAGAAGGTGTGCTGTGCTGCTGTTATCAATCGATGAGACATAGTTCTTTGACAGTACTGCAGCTTCTCATGGTCCTCAATGCTCTATGGCAAGAACTTCTCCAGACCTTGCACAACACAAATGTACTACCATTCGACAGCAGTTCATCTGGCCACGAGTGAGTCAAAAGGTTCAGTGCTGGTATGAGTACTATATAGTTTGCGTTGCCTAGAGAAAGAACAAGCCAAAACAGGGTAAACTCCAAGAAAGAAATATATGGTCTACTCTACAGAGGATAACCTTGTATGTCACTGGTCTGCTCTCAGAAATTGCAAGAGGTCATTGACACATAATCATTGCTGAAGCTTATCCATTGGTCACTAACACAGACAGTAGCTGATGTGTTAGCTGTTAGCTGGATATTGCAATTCATAGTTGACACGGATCAGGGAGCTAACTTCAATAGCCAACTGTTCACTGAGTTGTGTAACGTGTTAGATATGTTGAAGATGTATACTTGCTTGGCACAATGTATAATACAGATTACCAAGCAGATAGTGGTGAAGTTTGTTAATCTTGACGAAACCGTGACAAACACTTGCTATATATGATGATGGCATATAGAGCAACAGGACAGAGGTTGTTCACTGAACCTACTAATGTTCAGACAGGAAGTGCTAATCCCGTGGATGTGATTTACAGTCCTACCCTATGAGGAGAGGTCCCTCATTGTCCACCAAAGTATGTTGAGTGCCTAAGATCAACAACGGTCAACTCATGCAAACTCACCTGGCAACAATTTGGGAAGGTGGCATGTCAATAGACAAAGTACTGTGATCGAACAGTGAAAAAAATGAATGTTTCAATGTAGTAAATGTGTGTGACTGTGGTACACACTAGCACAAAATCAACTTTTATCTGACTGAATTGATTCATAATTCACACAATGGCAAGCTGATTCTCCAATATATGAGTTACAGTAGATGCAAGACACGGAAAAGCAAGTGGAGCATGTCAATATATTGCATCAATATGCCACAGATGAGCCTCTGGTGAGTCAGGAGTCTGAGAAAGAAGACCAATGAATCAGAAGAAAATGAAAACATCGTTTCAAGTCATGCCAAGGAAGTGGTGTAGGATAAATCACCTGAGAAATCGCTGGAGGTAGATGTGACTACAACCTCTGACTAGTGAATGAGATTCAAGCATTAGCCTTCTGATCAGTAAGGGTGGAACTGATCAATCATCCCCAGCTAAGATACTCATTAGTTTGAGTAACCAATTATTAAAAGTAAGTAGCATTCTGAGCTATTGGAGAGTAAGTTGAAGAAATTATCCAATTTTAGTCCTACCTGTTTTCTGATCGTGAATAGTTTGCTAGAAATTCATTCCGAGAGATAGAAACTGATAATCTATTCAACAATCCTGAGAAGTTAGTGTCTGCTTGTTTGTGCAAGTAAACACATTTTATTTTTATTTGTAGTAAAAATTATATATTTTTATTCAGAACTAGTTCAGTTTCATTAGTTCAAACATTATAAAATTCAGTCAAGTTTTCAAATACAGTTTACTTTATAAATTTCCTAGTCATCCCTGCTGTTATTAGCATATTTATCTAATACTTGTGAGGAAATCAGCTTTACTGGAAAATAACACACATCCACGACATTTGAAGGCAATTCATTCCAAATCTCTGTCAGAAAAATAAAATTACTTTAAGCTGAAGATAACTCCTAACCTGCCAAAATTTATATGTGCATCCCCTTGTCTTACTATTGTCGCCATAAAGAACGAAAAAATGATGCATCAACACTATTAGTTCTCTTAAGAAACTTAAAGACTTCAGTCAGATACCTGGCTTTCTTGATATGTTTTGTTTTTGTATATAAAGCTGGTTTTTCCCATGTAAGACAAGGATTTTGACGATTTAAGGATATTTATTTTTTGACGAAGGTAAGACAGAATTAGAGTGCGTGTTTATCAGCTTAAACTTTGGGTTAACGTTTCTGTAGCTTTTACTGCCAATTTTAGCTTTAACTTTGAAACACCTTTTTGTATATAAGTTCAATGTTAATGTGTAGTTTTACTTTAACTTAACAGTCTTATTAGAGTGATTTACATTAACTTAATCTTTGAGAAGTTTGATTGTTTGTTTGTTTGGACTGATATTTTGTAGCTTTTGTTTCAACATCAACTTTATATTGGTTTAAACTTAATTTCGGAATTATTTTAATGGTAACATGACTTTTAACATATTTCAATATTTCATAAGAGTTACTTTCTGTTAAAATTTGGAGGTATTGGTCTTATGGGTGATACGAGCTTTTAAATATTCTTATCACTTCTCTAAACTGAACACTTATCCTTGTTTTATTTTTGTTGTTTTTTGTGTACTTTTCCTTCCATCGGTGCTCCAGTTAGCTGGTCTAACTGACTGCTCTGCGGAAAAACCCTTTCGCACATAAGATACAACAATTATCAGTAAAAGCCATCTACAATTTATTTACCCAACTCGCCAAATATAAATCCTTTTGTAAACCAACAGCATTCTTATCACAACCAGCAACTCCTATGACTCATGAGCAAATTTAAGCAATTTATTGACCATTCCTTCGTTTATGTCATTGATGGAAATCAAAAACGTAACAGATCCTAACACTGAGCTCCGAGGTATCAAATTTGTGTAGTTAATCTAGTTTGAATGAAATCCTTTTATAACAACCCCCTGTATTCTTCTATCCACCCCCACACACCCCAGCACGATCATATACCAAAGGCTCCTGGACCAGATAATACTTCCCCAAGGATTTTTAAGGACGTCAAACATTGGATATACGAGCCAATTGCTACCTTTGTTTTTGTAAATTATTGAACAGTGAGCGGGGCCAGTAAATTTGAAGTTGGTTAATGTTACTCTTCTTTTCAAAAAGATAAACATTGTCCAGGTAATTAAGGCCTATTGCTCTTTCACAAGTAGTGCAAATTTCGAAAGCCTGATAGCACGTACTAACGCTGAGCCATTGGTGGGCTTCTGTGAGGGACATATTTATCTTAAATACTTGAACATTTATTCTGAAAATCCAAGTTTGATCGGTATTCGGCGACTTCAAAAAAAAAAAGGAAAAAAAAAGAAGAAATAGGAAGTCAAATCTCATATTAGATAAAATATTTCTTAGTGTAGCGTTTAAGATTCACACTGATTTTAATATAAGAAACGATAACGAAAGGTTAAGTATGTCTTTAATGACGTATGTTCTGCCACTCATAGGTCATCTCATGATAACACCGTAAGTGCTATATACTGTTTTGTTTTGTTTTTTGAATTTCGCAATAGCTA